GGCATATAGGCTAGGACAGTGGTCCCCAACCTTGGGCCTCCAGATGTTCTTGGACTTCAACTCCCAGAAGCCTACACCACCACCTCTATTGGTCAGGATTTCTGGGATTTGAAGTCCAAGAACATCTGGAGGCCCAAGGTTGGGGACCACTGGGCTAGGTGACCTATGATAAGCAATAAGAAAGTTTCCCCTATCCTGCTGCTAATTCCCATATAACTAAATAACTACCCAACATATGCAAAACAATCAGACCTCATCTATGTTTAAAACACTGAGGTTTAATTTGGAAGTCAAAATTTTAATTTTAGAGCATAAAATATCAATGGATTTTTCAAATATCCAGAAACATTTAGCTTGAGCTCCAGTGTTTACGAGTGGTACAGGTGCTTCTGTTTGTTTTGAAGTCTCGCCATCTAGATGACTAAGAATACCTGAGGGCATGGTCTATTATTAATAATAATAATAATTGTGTGCCACCAAGCCAATTCTGACTGATGGGAACCCTTTTCAGAGTTTTCTAGGTAGAGAATATTCAGAACTGGTTTACCATTCCCTTCTTCTGGAAGTGGAGGACTGTGCAGCTTGCTCAAAGTCATGATTAAGAATCGATAAACAATTCATTGGGTTTTTATTTTAATAGGAAATTGCCCAGTGCTCCTCCTATATACACACCCAAATGCATCGTGCATGCAATAAATTTATTTAAATGTATTAACAAAATGTGTGCATTTGAAAATGGCATATGGACAAATGTGTATTTGTGCAAACCACTCACGAATATGTATTAGTCAGTGCAATAAAATATGTTGAGTTGAAAAAGTGTATAAAATTGTCAGTTCTGAGAATTACAGAAGTACACATGAACTTCAGTGAGGTGGGATCTTTGGAATCTAATATTAAAATGTTAACAGCACTTTGCATCCTTCAAAATTTGGGAGTATGGAACAAATTTATACAAAAACATAGACTTAATTAATAAACATAAAATGTTCATTCCATACAAAGTTGAATTTACTAAAAACATACAACAGAAGAGAATATAAAACATACTGACAACTGCGAAACAATTATGCAGTACTAGTTTCTGACCTGAAGCCAATCAGAGATCCGTACTGCTGGCTTCCAGATAATTTAGCCTGAAGCAATTTTTTAGAAAATGAGAGAGAAAACATGTGTGGTTTTAGGAACCAATGACTGGAGCCAAGAGGAGTGCATTTCTAAAATTGTGCACCTGGATAAGATTTGATTTGAAAAGGGATATTGCCAGATTCTCTTTATGTTATTGTGGATCACTGTTTATCATTATTTTATTTCTGTATCTTTTTAATTGTTTTTATCAGATCTTATAATTATAAGCTGCCTCAAGCGCTACCTGGTAGTGGAAATGTGGGACATAAATATAATCTAATAATAATAGTACTGTACTGATTATGGTTCACGTTTCCAATATTATTGCTTACTTTTTAACATTAAATAATTACACATCAATTGTTTTCCAATGTTGAGTATGTTTGCTGTTTTTGCATACATTTAAATTCAAGTTGTGAATGGGCAGGAAGCTTCATGTTACAAATATAGTAGAAACTTGTGTATTTTTATAAACTGGTTTCATAATGCAGTTTTTTAAACAACAGTTAATAGAACTGTTAGAATTTTTCGTACTGATTCCATTATTGCTCTTCTTTCCTGATTTTGTAGTGGGAATCTAGCCTTGAGTTTGAACAGATCTGGCACTGGGGAAAAATGAGAAATTCAACAAAATTAATCGAGCTTGAGAGATGTGTATATTCATGTTGGTGTTATTCTGGCTGAAGATGTTGCTGGGCTCCAGTCTCCATCATCCCCAAACAGCATGATCTATGGTTAGATATGATAGGCAATGCAGTTCAGGAATATCTGGAGCACTACAGATTATCTCTTCCTGGGCTGACCACAAGGATGCTGCTAGGGGGAAAAAATTATCTATTTTGGCACAGGTTGCTTTCCAGCCTACTCACAGTGGCAGGACAGAAACATAGGGAGCTGACATCTGGATAAAACCTTCATCAGTATAAATCACTCACACTCCTACTGATTTCAGCAAGAGAGGTATAAACACATACACTTGCACAAAGGAATCCACCCCCTTAGCTTTGCCTAATCTGTGTCTGTGAAAAACAGCTTTTCTAAAATTAAATAGCTTTTGTTTCCCAATGCACAACTTTTTCATGAAGCTTCTGCACAACCTCCTAGCTTCTGCTCATACTCTGCTGCATCTCTCCCCAACCTGGAGCCATTCAGACTTCTTGGGTTACAAAGGCCAGCACCAACAACCACTGCGGTCACTCACTCTGCTGGCTGGGGATAATGGGGGTTATTGCCCGACTCTTCTGCAGGGTACCATAATAGGAAAAGCTCGTCTACTGTAACTAAGCTTAAAGTATGTGGTAACTCCTTTAGCCCAACCGAAAAGGCATAAAGACTCAATAAAAGCATTACCACAATACAGATTTTGGAATTTTCCTTATAGCCAACAGTTACCTTGGCTTTTATGTATGAATTAAAGATCTGAAATAAATAATCATGTATCTTTCTCCTGTTTACTTGACTGTTATTTCTACCTAATCCTTCTGTTATTTCCCTTGGACCTATTTCTAAACTCTCTTGGCTCTGAGACTCATCTCACTTCTTTTCCAACTGCCATGAACAAGCATATCATTATATGTATCTTTGTATCATTCCTATATCTAACGTTGTAGGTTTGGCTCCTGAGGCATCTTTCGCATACAGAAAGCATCTTAGAAGCAGCAGACTGGTATCTTCTACTTGGTGCAAAGGAAAACCGAAACTACCTCTGAAGATGTGCCCTCCTCTTATACACGCAAAAGCAGAAGAATGACTATGCCTGAGGCCATCTCAGATAGCACTGCATGAACTCTCTGGTGCAAGTATTACAGAATGGTGAGGCTGACAACTATTTTCCTTCCACTCATGATTCTTTGGATCCAGTCCATAGCATGAGAAGGATTTATGCTATATTTGGGGCAGCTTCCAAGAAATACGTAGTCATGCTGAGCTGCTTTTGGAGTCTTGGCTAGCATGGAACTTTGCTAGAAGTAGGCAGGCCCAAGATCCTTTCCAGTTTCTAAACTTGTAATGTACAAGAGCACTTCTGTCACTTAAATATAGGATGTGGGAAAGCAAAGCTCCCAATGGGGGCATGGGAACATGCAGCATGGATTGCCCTAAAATAAGCATCGCATACCTTAGGCAGCACATGTCATCTGTCCATCTCGGCTCAATGGCATTCCACCAGAATCCTCCAAAGCCACTTTTTGTAATGTCTTTCTTGATGAACAGACCATGAGATCTTGCAAGTCAGCACATGTTTTGGTAATCTTTAAGTTGTCCTAATAAGAGGATTGCCCTAACATGGATTCTCGAATTTTTAAATGGCTGACATGGCTTTTAAAAAAAGGACTTAAAAGAATGATGAATTTATCTGTTCAGTGGTGGCGGGTCTACAGAGGTTTCATCACACTTAGGTTCCTTGACTCCAAAGAACTTAGAAAAATGTTATGCTAGTTTTTTAAAATCATATTTAACAATCTAGATTTATCTGTAGTTTTGTAAGTATAAAAACTGGCTACTTTCTTTCTACTTTGTTTTCTACTAGTCAAGGAACATGTGTGGCTCACCAAGGACCAGAGACAATTTAGAATATGGGTATCATCAATGGTTGAGTATGTCAACCGTTTTCTGTTCATTTTTTCATCTCAGCAGTCATAGGAACCGTTCCAGGTGCAACCTGAAACTATTACAAGGCTTATCTGCATGTCTGCAACCCCATCCTCCTACATTTCATCTTAAGGCTCTAACTAAGAATTTCATGACTACAGATGGGCATGAACTGAAACACAATCCAAGGAGTTGATGGCAAATCACTGGTTCATTGGTTTGGGTTTGTCAAAAGTGACAAACCCGAAATGACCCAAACCACAAACTTTTTAAATGATTTCACAGCTTTCTTTGTTCATTTGCCCCACCCTGCCCCTGTCACCTCCCTTCCTGGTGTTGTTGCCACCTCCTCTTTGTCCTCTGCTGCTGCCACCATCTTGAGAGACACCAGCCTAGCTTCCCTTCCCAGAGCCAAGCTACTGTTTCTGCATATACACCTGCCAATCAGCTGAGGATGAAGAGACGACAGCAGGACTAGGTAGGGAGATGATGGGGACAATGGGGAGCAAGTGGAGGCTGTGGGGGTGGCAGGCTTAGCTTCACCTCCCTCCAGGCATGAACTTAAAAAAAGTACCTGTTCATGTTTCTTTTTTTTAATTGTAGGATTTGTGGTTAGCCACGAACCACAATTTTTGTGGTTTCTGTCCATCTCTTTTGATGACTGCAACATCAAGACAGCTTGTTTACCTCTTTTCTTTCCCTCCCTCAGATGCTTAGAGACCTGGAAATTTTGAAAGCTTGTGGGTATTTATGACATTTGAGATGGCCAATAAAGATACTGTGTTAATACTGGAAATTGGAAACCATCAGTCTTGTAACTTGTTCATGGCAATACTTAAGCAGTTTCATGTAAGAAAATTTCCCGATGGAGCTTATAAGTTTCTTAAGACCTCCCAAATGCCATCTAGGTGCTTAGTTCACCAAACTCTAACTTGCCATGCTGTTTTATGACATCAGAGCAAGTAAGCCAATGGCAGTTAGAAAGCCTAGGGTCCCTTTGATAGCAAAGAAGTTGATTATACCAAGAAAATTAAGGCAGAAATTTAGGGAATACGTTTAACAGTGAAATAAAACAAGAAGGAAGAGGTCATCAGACTAACAAGACTATTTCTACTAATTATTGTGATAATTTCTACTTGCCATTACCATTGCTACTACTACTTATTCTGAGGGTTGCACAGAAGTTGCTAGGCAAGTCACTATTTCTTCCAGCTAAGTCAAAAGATGCTGATGTCCCTCTGCAGTCCCCATCATGCTGCTTCTGCACCTCAGCATGTACTTACAGGACTTTCCCAGGACACTTGAGTCCCCAGCTGCACTTGTGATACTCAGCTTTCACATAGCTCTCTGCTCCATCCTGTAGGGTGCATGTTACATTCCTCTGGACCACATAGGCACAATAGCTCCTGAATTGGAAACAAAGCAAGATTACATCAAATATCTGCTGGCCAGTTCTCCTGCCCCAGTTCCTTCCAAAAACTCCAGGCCAGATTTTTGTCTGTAATTGCCCAATAGTTGCCAGTAGGGCAAAACATCTCAAGTGTTCCCTTAGACTGTTCATTCATTTGGAATAATCAGCAAGGCAACACTACTGACCTGGAAAAATCTCCAGGGGAAGAAGAAGAAAAAGATAAAGGCACCCCACGACCAGGGTAGATACCAGTATATCTAGGAAAGGATCACCATAAATGTTAAGAGTTTCCAGAGTGACCAAACAAGAATTTGGTTCTGCAGTTGTTAAGGAGAAATATTCCTGTTTTTGAATGTTTTCTTTAACAAACCTAAACTGCACACATGCCTTTTCCTTTAGAATGTATGTGGAAGGAAAACTATACAGGATTATTCACAAGTAAAACTCAGAAACTGATAAATTAATAGTTCATCATGCATCTGTATCAACAACGAAAGGAAGAAACAGTATGGGCTTGAGATGTTAGGAGCACAATGAAGTAGTTTTTGCTTTCTTGTGGTTGATCGGGGTCTCAGAAGAGGCACAACGTACTTGTCCTCCATTTCCAAGTTCTATTTTTCCAGCTTCATTCTGCACCATAAAAGGCTCAGGGGTTTCTAAGCACAAGTTAATATGCAGTTCATTCTTCAACACTGCCTTTCTTTTGGATAATGTCTATAACAAACTGCATGTCATTGTCCACAAATCCAGGTTGATCACCCCAAAGGGAATCTGTGACCAGAAGCCAGTAAAGCGCATCAGATGTTGTAAGACTGCATCATCCATCACCCCTCACCACTATCTTTCTTAGCTCACGTGATAGGAGCTGCAGTTCAACAATGTAGTTGCCACACCACCTTTAAAGTCTTCTTGGTTGTTGGCCATTACCACATCATGGAGGTTTAACCTGAACTTTAAAGTAGCTGTCCCATGTGCTGAACCTATTATAGTTGTCAAATTCAACACCTTGGACAGATTCTGAAAATCTCAGACTAAAGCCTACAGTGAATTCACCATCCGGAGGAAATCAAGTTTCCCAGGCTCCACTGCCTTTCTCCTTTCATTCTGGGGCCTCAGCCAATTTAGTAATGCACAGAACTGAAATGTTATTGATCTGAAAACACCTTTCTGCAGTGTACTTTCTCTCTGGCTTTTACATGTGAAGATCTGCTACCCTATTGACCTCACTTAACCACGGGAGCTGGAATTATTTTGGTGATTCTTACCCAGGTGGGAATCCCCCATTTCCAGGGAGATTCCTTAGGATTTCAGGAGAGATGTAGTTTCCAGAAACATGTTCATTTTTACAATATATTTTTTAAATTTGGAAAATATGCAGAATAACCATGCATTAGTACATTAGTACGTCGCCTTATCTTTTGCAATAGTGTGTGTATCATTTTTTCTTTTTCTTTTTTATGTTACAGAGTAGTATGGAGTATGCCATGTGTGGATAGTGCCATTATGCATCCTCGTGAAAATCCACCCCACTTCCCTAGCACTAGACATGGAGACAAATTAAAAAATTATTGCAATATTCATAAGAAATCACTAATTTGTCAATATTCATCCTTTTGTTTTTGTCAGTTTCAGAGACACTGACAAATAGAAAGGAACAGATATTTACTTGTTTTTTATTAGTGCCCATAGGCAGCGAGTTAAGATTAGGCTGCTGGAATGGTGGCTTCCCTTAATGCAGCTGAGCCTTCCCTTTCTGCCTGTGCACCCACTGAACAGCTGATTGGCAGACAGGGTAGGCTCAGCTGCACTAAGGGAAGCCACAGCCACCGTGTTTGCAAAAAACGACCCGGTCTCCCTTAGGGAAGGCAAGTCTGCCCTAAGAGAGGCTGCCACTGCCATCTTTGCAAAGGATGGCCTTGTTTCTCCTGGGACTGCAGAGCCTGTCCTGTCTGCTTATGGCCCACAAATCAGCTGATTGGCAGGCTATAGGCAGACAGGGCAAGCTTTGCTGCCCAAAGGGAAGCTGCAGCCACAGTACTTGCAAATATGGTGGTGGTGGTGGAGGCCACCAGCAGAGGCTGTGGCAGAAGTGGAGGCTGCAGTGGCATGGAGGGTAGGTGGCACAGGCAGAGATGGATAATGTAGGGAGTTGATGGGGCAGTGGGAAGGTGGTGGGGACAGACTCCGGAGCTGGAGGCTCAACTTTTTTTGTAGATAGCCATGGACGGTCTGAAAAAAAACCTGATGAACCAATTAACTGTTTCATGCTTTGTTGAAAAACTCAGTGAAAATTCAGTTTTTGTGGTTTGTCAACCTTGACAAACCACAAACCAAAATGAACACAGTTCATTCCCATCTCTATCCAGCACCAAACCCCAGCTAAATAAAGGGAGGTGACCCCTTCATAATTCTATCCTTACATATTTATTTCTAAGGATGTGTGGAAGCTTCCCAACCTGGCTAATGCCTGAATAAGTGCACACGTATAGACACTCAACCCACCCTGTGCCCTTACTGTGGCACTGCCACCTGATCCTTGTCAAGGTCCATGATGGTATTTCAGGTCTTCCATGAAAAAAACGTTCCCATGACTGGGGAAAATTCAAATGTAAATGTGTAGGATGTGTATAGGCTTGAAGAAGATCAAATGATTTTACTTCCACCCCCAGACACTCTCCTAGCAATTGCACAAAGGTCAGCAGGTGGTAGGATTTGCACCAATGCAAAGAAAAGAAAAAAGACAGAGGACAGAGGAATAATGTATTCCGGCATACTCATCCTGACCTAGCCAATCAAAGTGCACACAAGAGGAATGCAAACATTCATCCACAGTCACACAGTAAACTATTTAGAAGAGTAAAGTAGATAGGAATGGGAAAAAAATTTCTAGAACCTGAATCCTAGCTAGAAGTAATGAGAGATGCTAGATGCAACCTCCAAAGCTATACTAAGCACTTTCAGTAACAAATACAGTGGTGCCTCGCACAACGAGTGCCTCACACAATGATGAATTCACACAACGATGCCTTTTTCTGTTAAATTTGCTGCCTCACACAGCGATGTTTCCTATGGGGGATTTTCACACAACGATCTCCCTTTTCGCTCCTGTAAAAGTGTCTTACAATGTTTGGAAGCTGTTTTAAATGATTGCAATGGTTAGTCCACCTCCTGAAACCTATGCAAACTGATTTTGGTGTTGTTCTGACACTTCGTTAATTTATGATGATTTTTTGTTTTTTCCATTGGAAACCATTAGACAGACCATCCAATGGTTTCCAATGGAGAAAATTCAAAAAATCATCATAAATTAACGAAGTGTCAGAACAACACCAAAATCAGTTTGCATAGGTTTCAGGAGGTGGACTAACCATTGCAATCATTTAAAACAGCTTCCAAACATTGTAAGACACTTTTACAGGAGCGAAAAAGGACTTCACAAAGGCATTGAAATGTATTGAGTCGGCTTCAATACATTCCAATATAGGAAACATTGTTTCACTCAACGATGTTTCCTATGGGGATTTTCACTGAACGATGGCAATCCGTTCCAATTCGAACGGATTAACGGGTTTTCAATGCATTCCTATGGGAAATGGTGTTTCACAGAACAATGTTTCACACAACGTTGATTTTTTTGGAACCAATTAACATCGTTGTGTGAGGCACCACTGTACAGTACAGGAAGATGTAATATAAAGGAGAGCTCCCTTCTGGGAAGGTGGAACTAGCGAACATGGTAAATTCTTTGTTTCCTCACAACTCCACTCTGGAGCATTAGTCCCCTCTTTGGTCTTGCTCTTTTCCTCAACAGGTCTTGGGTCCTTCCTCCTCTTGCCTGGGACAACCATCTCATTTATATTCCCTTTTTAGCGAGAATCCACTTTGGCATGTTTTTTTTTCCATGCTTTCCTCTTTTTCTTGTGCCTCATAATCCATCATGCCTCTTGATTCCAGGGAAGATGATGCATCAGGGAAATATCTTGGAGAAAGGAATTACTTGGTGCCCACTAGGTATCAAGGTATACTTGGCAAGGATCCATGGAGGGCCAATTAAACATGGAGGTGAACCCTTCCTGTAGACCCAAGGTCACACCTCCACAGTGGGTTTTTATCCAATCCAGCAGCACAGCTCTTAATCCAGAATGCTAAAATCAGTTGGCTGGTATCCCCAATATTCTTGTCCAACATTTTCTCAAACCTCTACATCACAGCATCAATAACTCTCCAAGAAGCAGCCCAATCTAGAACAGTTTGGGCTGCCTCTAGAGACTAACCTTAACACCAAATAACAGGTTAGTGGGGCAGAAGAAGTCCTTCCATGTATTGAACAACTTTAACACAATCTCAATGGAATTTATTTTTAAAAAAAAAAAATCTGAGAAAGAGATTCCATTCCTGACATTTACCAAAATACTCTCATCTGAATTTTTTGGAGATCTGTAGGCAGACCTTGTGAAGGCCAGTACAGGCCAGCCTTCTCTACGCTATGTCAGACTAACACCTTCCTAGAGGAAAAATCTTTCTCTTCTTCAGTTACATTCAGCTACGGAGACCCATTTACACAGATACAAAAACATTTATAATCCTAAATAGAGATGGGATATTCATATTTGTCTCCTGAGGGACACGAATATGAATGTTGCCTCCACAGGTTGCTGAGTACTTTGAACCTACTCCCCTGGAAGCAGCCGGTCCACTTACTGCTCACACCATGGAGCATGAGGCCCTTCTTTGTGACACGCCAATTGCGGAAGTACACTGACTGGCACTTCCCTGCCTCCCTGCACTGCTGATCACTCTGGTGAGGAGGCAGGAAGACGAGTGTCCCCACTCAGCTGCTGAAGCGATCAGCAGTGCAGGGAAGCACTGGTCGGACGACTTCCACAATTCGCACGGCACGAACAACGAAGGATCCACACACCACACCGCAAGTGGTAAGTGGACTAGCCAATTCTGGGGCTGGGGGTGGGTTCCAAAGGGCCTGGCCACCTGTAT